CAACAGAGGCTGAGATAACTTTATTTTTGGCCCTTAATGAGTCAAGCTCTAAAGACTTACCTTTACATCCTGTGATGCAACCAATGACATCTTTCCTATGCTTGGTAAATACCCAGAACCACTGAAGACATTAAAGGGGCCATAAAAAAATTAGTTTTCTGAGTTTTTTGGGGAGAGCAGGGGAGGGTCTATTTTTCTTATTCCATGTCTGTTTTAGTTCAGCCTACCCTTGCAAGATTTATTGTCTAAAAAGAGATCAAATACTTACAACAAAAATATGTCATGTGTGCCACAGATCACAACTTGCGTTTTACATGCAGAGGTTCATTCCACATATTGTCTCTGAACTAATTCTGGTACAACATACAGTAGCTTTAACAGGAACAGCTGCAGCTCTAAGTTCATTCTGTCAAATAAAGAACTGAATCTTCAAATGGTGAAAATGTAAAGCAACTCTGACTGTATAGTGTTTATCAGTGTGTGAGTTGATTCAACTTCATATATCAAGTTTATTGAACTGAAGTTCACTTAATGCAACAGCTGGGTTTACACTTTTAAGACAACACTGGACTAATTCAGCCTAAACAAGTAAATCAGTTTTAAGATATTTGGAAGAAAATATTCAAATTTGGTGAATGGATTTGTGCAAATTGAAGTCTTCATATCTGTTGGTGCTATTTGGCAAATGCACCCTGTCAGTGCTTTAATTTAAAGCTGTAATAAAATCTAATTTATCCCAAAAATTGCACCCAAGATAATGTGTCTTCAGACCGGACTATAACTATAGTTAATGAACCCATCTGCCGAGTTCAGTGGTGATAAAGGTTAAAGACTATTAATGGATTGGCGGTGTTCAGTGTCCTGCTGCTTTACTGGTGGATCTTTTATGACATTCTGCACAATGTATGCCATGATCACTGTCCAAGGTGCTGATCCTGCAGCCCCCATGATGTGGGAGATGTCTGACAATGATCAGCAGGATTCCCACTAAGCTGGGAGGGAATGTTTGCTGTCTAATGAGATTTGTTGTTTCAAATATCTGTGTTATTTTAGGAAGCTTGGCGACAGACTCCTTGCATATTGTGCAGTATTTCTTTTTTTATCTCCTCTCTGTGCTGATGAGGCTGTCAGTCAGTGTGTTATTAGCATTTGTGAAAATATAAATAAGGCTGGGCTGGGTCTTGCTTTTGTATAAAATCAAACATAAGAATCAGCCTCCCTCCCTACCCCAATAATTGTTGTACAGTCCCTAAAATGACGTTTAAGTGTAAAATCTGAGTGCCCCTTTAACGTACCATAATTACCACACTCTTTTTAATGATGTTTTCCAATTTAAATGATCGCTATTGCTCTTTATTCATCTCATAGACAATCATGCAATCATACAATACTCTCAATAAACACGTCCTCAGTATTCCTTTAAGCAAAATAAATAACATGCAATAATAATTTGCAGATAACCAAAATCAGGACCAAAATCTTTATTTCCAACAGATTTACATTATTGTTCATTATTTCCAGTTTTCCAAAATTGCATGGTCAGATATTCTATACTAACAGGGGGTGCAGTGGAGAGACTGGGGATGGGTCAGCTGCCTTCAGCCTGCCCCAGTTGGTGTAGGAGGTGCTGGAGGTGTAGTGTTAAGCTTGGGGTTGAGTTTGGGGTTTGGGGTGGGGAGTAGGGTTAGGATTGGGGTTTGGGGTAGGGTTGGGATTAGGGTTGGGATTAGGATTGGGAGGTGTAGGGGCAGGGGCAGGGGTGGGGGCAATATAGCACCCTCTCTTGTGCCACTGCATGTCCCGCACACGTCGGACGGACTGGATCTGAGGTGCAGTGGCTCCCCAATCGTTCCAGTGCTTGAACTCTCCATGCTCAAACACGTACTGGCGCCCTCTGTAGCCTGGATACATGTATCCCACCCACCTTCAGAGGGAAGAGGAAGAGTGTATGACATTTCTGGGACAGTGAACAGGGTTACATAATAACACCATGCTTATAAAACATACACATTCATTCAGTTCGCTTTAAAAACAGTTACATCTACTATACATAATACTGATCACTGGGAAGGTTGCAGCTTACGTTCCATTGATAACCTGAGCGCTGGCCACACGGTCCGAGAAACCATAAGCCCACAGACTGGGGACGTCATCATCAACAATCTCCATCTTCCTGCCTTCAAAGCCTGCATTCTCAAACAGGTGCAGCTTATGATCTGCACTGTCCTGGGGACAAAAACCACAGGTTTGAGCATCTTTGACAGGAAGTAACATCTGCTAATGTCACACTAACAATACTGACCACTTTGAGAGGCCTGAATGAACTCAGGTTGTAGCTACTCTGGCAGTTGGTCCAGGTGCTCCACCGAGGATACTCTCCTTTCTCTAGCACAAACTGCTCTCCTGCAAAGCCTGGACGCTCAAACCCAACCCATCTGACAATACAGAGAGAATTACACATAAGTGCACACATTAATCCCGAGCAAGGGCTAACGACTCTAGAACAGGATGCAGATGTAGTAAAAGCTGCCGAGAAGTGGATTACTCACGGTCCTGACTCCACAATGACGGAGCCAACTCTCTCTGTCTTCTCAAATGCATCTTTGCATTCTCCAGACAACTCCACCTTCTTTCCACGAAAGTTCTCAAACTCAAAAACCACCAACTGCAAAACAATTGGAAAGCTGCATCAGCAAAAGTCCTAATTTATGGTATCTCCAATTTTTTCTAACACATACATTCATTTGTGCATGTTAGTCGACAGCAAAGTACTTGTTCAATTGGATACCTTATATGTGGCTCCAGCCCCTCCTTGGCCCTTCTCTGCAGGCAGCTGGTCTGGGGTTCCCTGCTGTTCTGTCATTTTCCCTCTACAAAGCACAGCAATTACATTGTTCAGTGCTACATTAGATAGATTAGATTTACTCTTAGGTTGTTAAATTCATAGAAGAAACATTATTCAGCTTCACAGGCAGGACAGCTGACAAAATGTGTCCTTTTTTTGTCAAAAACTGCTTGGTTATAGTTTTGTTTTTTACAAATGTATCGGCCAGACATTTGCACACTTGTTTATTCACTCTAATCCCAGTTGTGTCAGTTTAATATTGAAGAACAACACATTAATTGTGTACAAAATGCTACCTAAGAAGCAAGCATTTGGATGCAGATAGAAGAGTGGACAGGGAGAGAGTGAGAGAGAAAGGCCTGTTGGAGAGAGGGATGATCTTTGTTTCTTTTTACCTGGATGGCTTGTGCTTCACTGCACCTGGTACAAGCCACGCTCTCCGTCTTTCCTCTTTCTTTTCTCTTTTTCTGTCTGTCAGAGTGAGGGTGTGTGTGGGCGTGGAGGCCTGGCGAGCAGTCGGTGGAGGCCAGTGGGGGTATTTATGGTTTATTTCTGGCCACAGCAGCAAAAAGCCTGTTGATGCAGCAAGTCTGTCGCACCCATTGTGTCCATCACACTGCTTCTCAATAGGCTTGCCCCTCTGTCCCTGGCACACTGGCAACCGCTGCCCAGCGCTGCCCATGCTGCCATCCTGACCATGATCCTATAGTGGGCACACACACTGACTGCCTGCCAAGAGAATGAACAGAGATCAGTCTCACTCAGCAGTATTGGCCCCACCCAGCTATCTTGCTCTTCAGCTTCCTGTCTTCTACCTGTTTCTTTACCTTTCTCTTTATCCAGTGTCCACAAAGCTTCATCCAACATTGTTGTGAATATTTCCAAGTTGTATCTTTAAAATTACTTTATATGTGCGGATGCAGATCTAGAGGGGTGGCACAATGGCATAAAAAAATTCTGTCCGCCCCAGTTTGGTGTCCGATTTAAACAGTAAATAATTTAATGATCTGTTATGGCCATATTTAAGGTAAATGATAGGCTTAAGGTCAATGAAATTAGATGTATTTGAAAAAATGTCTGAAGATTTGGAAATAAAACGATGTATTAATTTCTAATTCCACCTTTACATATTTCTATTCATACTTCAATACTAATATGCCACAATAATGTAATGTTTTTGAGTTCAAATGTCTTCATTTTGGGGCTTTCCAAGCAGATATTGATATGTATTATTAAAACAGCATATATTTCCACCAGCCCTTAAAGTCTCCATGCAACCGTCTTGCCACCCCATGAATATTTCTCTTAATCCGCCTCTGCTTATATGCATATGCTTTGTCATTTTCCAATGCCTTTTGCAGTGTGAAGTGCAAGTTTCCCATCAAAAAAACCACACACATGATTGCATTTCATAGAAAAAACGTTTAATAAAATTCCCTCAAATTTCCTCTTATCATGCAGTATGTTTATCATAAATGATTACAGCATTGATGACGGGTCATTCTTTAACATTAAACAGGCACATAATAGAATCTAAAGCAGATGAATTAATTTTTCTGGGTTAAAGATTTTACAGAACACCCTTGACGTGATTCTGTTATAGCATGCCCAAAAATCCCCCCCAGCTCACTGTTGATGTTCTGACCTGCTACTGGGTATGTTAATAAAACCACAAAGTGTTGTGGAACCGTACTTTAAAGAGAAGACAGACATTCATGAAGTGACAAAAAGAAAAATTCCCATGACCATGTTAATATAGTTAGGTACTTGATGATTCTATTGATTAGATGTACTACATGGACGGTAGTTTAAAGTGCTTAAAGGTTTACTTTAGACAATCTGTGATTGGAAAGATAATGTAAAAAGCATTTTGTACAATTTAACCTAAATGCACACAAGGTGCAATCCATTATTTATATTCAGTATTTTCTGTACATATGTGTGTTCGTGTGATGGTAGACACCCTGCTGAAGGCCTAGTGTCATCAGTCCCTGTCAGTATATAAAGGACACATTCAAACAGCAAGACAGTCCATGGCTTTGCTCTAAATTACACAAGGGTATTACACCTCCATTGAGCCTCTGTGTAACTGTAGATAAAATATGTACTTGGCATTAACACATCACAGTCTTGGCACACAGCCTTGGCACCACATTTAATTTACAAGATACAAAAGTTCTTGATGGCGTATTTTCAGCAAAAGTGTGATCTCTCCTCCTGCATATCTCATTAAAGGTCCAAAATAAGGCACTCCAAGTGCAAAATGGAGCAATCATGGTAAGGTGTTTGTCACAAGCAGCAGCATCTGAGATGGATTGATTCTTGCTGAACAGCAACACACAGTGTCTCCTAAAGGGAGGGAAAGAAAGAAAAGTTTCCATATCACAGACTGCAGGAGGCATCAACTTTATGTAATATATTCAACATTTATCACGTGACATTTTCCAGGACCTTTCCAGGTGTTTTTCTTGATAATACAGGACAGCACTTGCTCACAAATGATCATATAATTATTGACTTTTTTATTTGTCCTTCATGTGTCTCAAATAGGAGCTCAGCGTTTATGGGACAATCCGTGTTAGCTCTCTTTTGTGCCACTCTTGGCTGTTCTCACCAAAGCAAATTGTTCCGCTGCGGCCTCCAACTTGACTATAGCTTACAACAGTTTTGCTCTAACCATAACATCAATGACTCGACGACAAAAAGATTGCTACAAACAATATACGCACCCAGGTTTACATAGTCCATCTGAGTGAGGGGATAAAATACCATCACATTTTCCAGGACATAGGACATTGTTTATTATTTTCAGGATATTTGGTTTCCAGGTCTTTCCATGACTGGAAAACTACTTTCAAATTTTTTTAGGTATTCCAGGTTTTTCCAGGGTGCGTGGGAACCCTGCTTAATTGTTGGATGGGTTTATCTGCAAGCATTCTCCCATGAGTGCATTCATTTTTAGCATAGGCGGTCCAAGTGGCACTTAAATTCATAACCCTGTTACATCGACATGTCCTTTTCACTTAACTATATGTGGAGATCAGAGCTAAATGTAGCTGCAAGCAGCAATTCCACAGGCAAGTAAAAGAGGCCTCAAGCAGAGTAAACTGCATTAAAGTACAATGAGGACGTCTTTACCCACTATGCAGTTTTAATCATGATAAGAGAAAGCTTTGCAGAGACAGGGCCCATTTCCTGTTTTTGTCTTTGCTGTCAGTTTAGTCCCAGCCTGCACTAAGTTACATGAGTCTTCTTGACAGCATTGGCAGAAAGTTTAAACCGTTTACTTTCTATTATTGCGAAGCTATTAAGCTGTCTTGCACTATGACTCACAAGCAAATTAGTCCTTTTTAATGATGCCTTCACTTCTACAGTAATTCAGGGTATAAGCCAAATGTCAAACATGTCAAAATGTTCATGCTCAATGCTCCTCTATGTCTGGCCCTGTTAAATCACATAAAGATTTTCATATCACAAGCAATTCACGGGTGTCACTCACATGAAGTTACTAAATAGGAAAGTCATCCAAAAGATGCATTATTATTATTTAACTCTCATTTTCTTTTTTTAAGAATTATTATTATTTTAAATGTATTTTAATAAATAACAACAGAGCTGGATATTATTTTAAATTTAGTGTTTTCCTGCTGAGATTTACCCCTAAATCAAAATTTGGTTATAAATGACAAGGAATTTTCCGATACTGTGAATACTGATATGTAGCAAAGAATCTGTCTTTAGTATTTTAATTATCACCCCTTCCATGTCACTCACCTGTGTCTGGCTAAGCCTCGCTGTCATACTGACTCAGACGCTTCTTAGACTTCAGTTCTTTCAGCCAAGCGGGAGAAGAGGCGGCACTGAATGACACACAGAATCACAGTTCAATGGAGTGTCGTAATTTAAAAACATTACCAATTTTTAACATTTGTCTCATAATTTCTTTGCTTTTCTTACCCTCCACTCGTGCCGCCTAAGGGAGGCAGCACTCGTGCAGCCCCAGCAAGATGAGCGGCAGAGCGAGGAGAGCGGGGCAGTTGTGAGGGAGTTGGTGCTACTTCCTGATTCTGACTTTCCTTCTCTTCTCTTCCCTTGTCTTCTTCGGGTTCCTCTCCTCCTCCAGTTCCTGCTCCACCTGTTCTCCTCTTTATCTGAGCCTTGGGGAGCAAGTTAAGTACACTTTACTTGATTCAAATGGCACCCATTGGTATGGGTAAGTGTATAAGTTATATATTGTAAGAAAGTTCTTCTCAAACTTACAATTAAGGCTGCAGGGCTCAAACCAGGGAATATGGGGACTCTGTGAGAGGTGGGAGGAGGAGAACAGACTATCTTCGGTTTAGGCTGCTCCTCCTCAGAGTCTGACTCCCTTCGCTTAAAGGAGGCCTCCTTTTCATCTAAAAACATAGTGAATGGTCAGAACATGCAGCAAATCAACATTTCAGCAGTGCTTTTTGTCCTGTAACAATGTGTTTTATAACACGGATGCTGTAATAACCTGTGGAGTCACGGGTCCTCCAGTCTGGGCTTTTATTCGGAGCCAAGCCTCCACGGAGGGAGCGTGATGGACGTGTTCGAATTCGCCTCTTTCCAAGATCTGCCTTCGATCTCTGTGCACTGCTGTCCAGGAGAAGAGTGGGGCTCTGTGCACAGACACACACAGAATTGAATACACTGTATTCACAGGTGTGTTACAGACCATCACACTAGAGCAATGCAGATGCATTTTCCCAGTCAGGTATGCAAAGTAACAACCAAACTACATGTTAATGTTTGCAGGGGATGTTACAGACGTCAAGTGTCACCATTCACAAAGGGGCAGGAAAAACAGAATGACCCACCTCAGGGAATGGAGCCAGCTCTGCCACTATGTGAAAATCAGTGGTATCAACGTCTTCAGTGGAGACTTCAGGAACGTGGTCAGGGACGGGCTTTGGACTGAACAGAAAGAAAGCTATTTAAAATCATGTGTAAACACTAATTGAAATGAGAAGGAAAAAGGTATTGTTTAGATGCTTTTAGTTCAGGTTCAGGAGGACTTTTAATCCAATTTCACAAAGCTCCACTCTTCGGAGTTTCTGTGTTGTGCTCTATTAACCACAAGGGGGCACAGGGAGCTCAACTCTTGAAAATACTTGAAAGCACTTACCACATTTTAGTCTGCAGCTAAACTTGGATTTATGTTTGAAAAACACAAATTGCATGTCTCATTAAGTGGAATATTAAAATTTTGTCTTTGCAAAGTCCAAATCACATATGGATTTAGAGTCAAACAAGTAACTAATGATAACTAACTGACATTGGGTTATCACAGGTTACCCTACATATTAAACTGCACCTTCAGGCTACTTACTTTAAGGCTTCAATGTCAGATAGCTATAGGGCTTCTATTTACAGGTGTACTCAGTTTGAATCAAATCACCTCAATATGAAGCCACACCTTCAGCACAAAACACAAAGAATGACACTCGGATCCTGTCTGTCTCCGTCAGGGTAGATGAAGGAAATGAAGCCACGTAAGGAAACAATGGGGACGTCAGACCAGTTCAGTGTGTCAGGTTTTTATTGTGTTATAGTGCAACCTCCCTCCTACCTGTCAATTTCAGATGGCTGTTCACAGGCCTCATTCTGCTGGTCTGGCTCGCTGTCTATCAAAGCATCCGTGTCTTTGTCTTTACCGTTTGTGCAATAACTGTTGACCTGTGTCTGAGAGACAGAAAGACAGATAGAAAATTAAATTGGGATATTAACAAGAAAACATATTATACAACAAAACCAGATAAAAAAGGAAGGAAGTGTTTGATATAGTCAGCTTCAGTTTCAGTGCAGATATCCACCACTCTACCTATCTCTCTGCTGGACCGATCACAGAAAATCAACGTGATGTAAATGCGCTTTTGATCTGTAAATCCGAAGAACTTCACATTGTGGAGCTGCGGCAGGGAGAAAATGGACCGTGTGCTGAGCCAAGATCACTAACTACAGAGGGAGAGACTAAGGACCAGCCAAGCATGCATCTTTTAATGAGCCGGTCACAGAGGCTGGGCTGTCCTCAATAAGCACCATGAGCATGTGCATGTACGCACACGCACAGGCTTACACACCTACATGCCTACACACAGACACACCAAACACACTCATGCTGTCACGCCCACATGCTGGAATGCATCGGTGCACACGCGCACACACACACACAACACACACACAACACGACACACGTTCCAAACAAAAGCAACTACTGTGCACTTCCCTCACAAACATTCCTTTAAGCTCACTTCACATTTTGTCAAGGGGTGCATCCCTATGTTTAGATGTTATTGTCACCTGGATACAAAACAACGCTGGAGTAAACATCTCCAACCCTCCATATATTTCATACACATCTCCTTCATAAGTCCATTTATTACACTGGACTTACAAAGCAGCTTCATTTGCACAATGCCTGTTATCTGGCAACATCACGGCACGAATGAATAGGCTTCTGGTGATTTTCCTACAACCACAGACTGTTTAGTTGCAGAGGAAAACAAAGTCTGTTTGTAACAGAGACAAAGTATACAGGTTCCACCCTCATATATTTATCCTGAGTCTGTCTGACCTTCATTACAGAAGTAGCCACTGCAGCTTACAAAGCTTTTAATGTTGTTTACTTACATAATGTTTCAGTATACGTGACTCTACTATAATACCTCCCTTTCATAATATTCCAAAAGCTTTCTAGTGAATTCAGAGAGAAACTAAATTCCTTTTCTAACTAGTTCCTCTTTGGCAGCGGTACCACGAGCCAAGCACATCTCAGTCGGATTTTTGGATTTGAAATTAAACAGGCAATACACTTTTCTCAAGTCGAAAAGAAATCGCCAACTTCCCAAGTACCCTAGAATGAAAATATTCTGCCTTTAGGCAGCAGAAACTGACTTTAACCACTTGAAGGCAGCAGAAGGCAACACGACACTGACATATTATCACCTTATAGAGTTGATATAGCGGAGCATGTCAGCAAACAGTTGCATATATCTACATCTAGCAGATACAAAACATTACCATTCCTTTGGAGTTGTGTATCTTTTCACCTGACAAATCTGACACTGACACCTGACACTGTCCATTATTTATTTAGCCTCCATCAACTTATTTGACTTTTTAGCAGCTAAATGCTCCACTAAAACAGTAACACCAAAACAATAACCTAAGAGACTGGTTTGTAAGGCTGAGGGGAACTGTAACAATCCCATGTGGGTTTGTCACTATGAGTGGCCCCTTCCACATAACACATGGTTATTTCATCCTTTTTTTTAACAAAAAATACCTGTTAATGCAACTTTAAATACAGATTCAGAGGTTAGTATACATTATAGAAACTCTATCGATGCATGCTGTTAGATTACTGTGCAAGTATTAACTGAACATGTACTGTAGGATTACAGTAAAACTATCAACTCAACAACATCTATAAATGCAGACATAAGAAAAAGATATGTTAAAAACTACACCTGCAATAAACTGCACTACTCAAAATGTGTATGTGTGAGTATGCCAGTACAGTATGCTCGGGAGGGCGGAGGATGAGCAAGTCAAAACAGAGTTGGCTTTATTATAGTTTACCTCCATCACATTTTTGTCAAAAGCACTGGAATGTGTAAGACAGCTTGTTTATAGTGTGGTGGAGAAGATAACATCATAAATCTGCCACGAGAACAAATAACCAAGACTCTAATTCAGAATAACCGATGAAGACCGCCAATAAAACATCACCTCTAATAAAGGAAAGTGACGGATCATCAAATTAAAAGTGGAAAGCCTGCAGGTTATATTCGCCTTTGTGCCTCCTGTGCAAGTACGCCCACATATAGACTTAAACACATACTAACATGCATACAGCAACCACAGTAAACACTTCCAAACTACAGACAGACTTTAGCATGAATATGCTGTAAAAACTGCCTCCTGTATTGCAGCTGGCACCTAAAGATACATTTGTTTTATCTCCAAAGCAGATGATGATAAGATTAATCAAGATCAAGGATTAAAATAAACAAATTCAGATATATGTATCTGCTAACAAGCTGTTTTTGGCAGCATATTTCCTGTAGAACAAAAGGCAGACACAGATAGAGAGGGCACAGACAAAACAGCCACACTTCGATAAACCCTGTCTAACTGTCTCACACTTTGTTATAGTCCTCTGCTTAATCTCTGACACACACCACAGACACCGAGGGAAAGGGCATGCATGTCCACTGATAAAACACTACATTTGGACAACTTTATCAGATAACTGTGTCCTTCCTGAAACAGACTGCCACTGCCTGCTGCACTCCCTTTCTACATTTGCATGGTTATCTGTTGACACATGGGTGTGGAAATATTAGACTAGGGAATGAGTTACTTGGGATGCATGGCGCTTTGGTGCACACTGTAGAGCAGCTAACCCCTTGGGTTATGATGTGATAGACCCAGGCCCTAAGAGCTGCTATATTCATTTATCATTGTAAGGAATGTCAACTGAAGTGAGCTAGCCAAACCTTTAGAGGCTATTTGTGTCAAATCTGATTGTCATTAATTCTATTCGTTATGAACCTGGCTATGATGAGAACAGAACATTTGAGAGCATTAATTGACATCTGCTGGGTTACTACAGCAGCTCTTACAGAGCAGGTTTCAGTGGCTCTCCTCTGCAGAGTCTGTCGACTCCTGTTGGAGAAGCGACGCAGGGATCTCCTACTACGTCTGGCGAAGCTACGGAGCGGTGAAATGGCTCTCTGAAACCTTCCTTCTCCATCTCCACCATCTTCTTCTTTTTCCTCCTCCTCTTCCTCTTTATCTTCCTCTTCCTGCTTCTCTCCTGTGGTGCCCCATACCAGCTCCAGAGCCCCTTGCAAGGAGCGTCGCACGCTGCCCACCCAGCCCGTCACCTGCAGCTGGGCGGCTGACAGTTTCCCTCCAAAGTACTGCATGGTTGAAAAGCTCACACAGCTGGTCGTCCAAGCACCAGGGTCACCATGGGAACTGGGTCACCGGAGAAACTGAGGTTTAGCTTTGTTAGAGATGAAGGGATTTAGTGGGTGAGTCAGAAAGCTGCGTCTGTGACCTGGCTCTGTCAGAAGGTAAAGACGGCGCAAAGTGTCTTTTGTAAAAAGGTTTCTGACGTCAGACAAAATGAGATGTAGCCCATCTTTCCATGTATCCATCCTCTCTCCATATTTTTATGGTTCAGGTCACACAAACTTCCTGGAACAGTCTATTATTTGCTGTCAGTGAATAAGTAAATGGTCTGACCAACCATGTGTTTGCACTGTGACAACACGACTCTGCTGCAGCCTTCACTATGATGGATGTGACATCCTAAACAGCAGCATCCCGAAGAAAGACTTTCCCATCATCAAATTATCATCCATTGTAGACACTCACTATATCGAAAATGTCCTTTTTTTGCCTCAACTTCAGAAGTAAACCAAATAGCAAAGCTTTTAGTCCTGCGGACAGCAATTTTGCCAGTTACCTCTTCTCATGTGCACCCTGTCTCTCTTTTGCTGAAACTTGTCCTGCCACAGTCGAGCCTGTTTGCTTGTGTACCTACGTCCCAGTTCACATCATAACTCCATTTTCCATTCAGAAAAAGAAAAAAAAAAGGAAAAGCAGCGTGGGAAATATGTGCCAATCCAAACATCCAAAGCCAGGTAGAGAGGTAGATCACCCCTTTATCTCCTCTAGAACTGAGTGATTTCAGAGTGCGTCAAAACAAAGCGGAGGTCTGTGCTCGGATGTGGAAAATCCCAAGGGAAAGAAGGTGCGGCAGGCTGGGCCAGGGTGCTTTCTGTACCTCCCTCCACTGCACTCTTCCTGTAGGTAAATGCAGGTAACTGAATGAACCAGGTCTTTGTGAGGAGGTAGAAGGCAGAGGGAAGAGCGGAAAACAGGAAGACTACTTTTGGAAAGTTGAGAGAAGGTTTGAACCACAAGAAGCACTCTAGATGACTGACGAATGGACAGTGGGCATGTGAACTTTCTTGTCAGTGGTTTAGCCCATCCTCTTTTGAGTGTCTTATGTGTGCCAGAAAGTGTGTGTGTGTGTGTGTAGGGGGGTGACAGGCTCTCTCAAAATGGGGTGGAGAGATTGAGTAGACAGAGACAGAGAAAGAGGGCCACCATGTATGGTCATTCTGACACGCTGCCCTGTTGACCAGACCCAAATGAGGACATGATGACCACATAGCAGCCAGGCTCTACTCACTATAAGATCTATCCATCCATCTGTCTGTCTGTCTGAGTCAGTAGCCTGAATGAGGGCAGCACGGTTGGCTGCACAGCTTGTGTTTGCCCAGTAAACATTTTCCTCGTTCTGCTCTGTCAAAATAAAAAAGCTTTTCCCCGCCACACAATAGTGCCTTTGCTGGGCAGGTTTTCTTGAAGCATAAAAAGGGTATTGAATCAACTATACTGTTTAGTGATATAATGGCCATATTATAGCAGTGTAAGCTGACAAACTTGTCGTTTTCTGTGGTGCAGAATAAGGAAGTGCAATTTTTTAAGAGCAGCAGCACCTCTCAGTGGTGAAAAAAAGGGTTGTACTCACATGACATGGCAGAGCTTCAATACCAACAGCCTTACAGTAGCTAAATGGTTTTGCACCCTTGCAGTAGCTCACTGCTTTTTTGGGTTGGTTTGTTTGCTGAAGCATGCACGCAGCAAACAGAAACACAATATCACACATACATACACTCACACAGTTCAGGGCTCCACAGTTCAGTGTTTTCATTAACTTTGCAAAAATGTTGCATGTTCAAACAGGCAGTGAACCGATGTGTCTTGACTGGCAGGGTCCCGTCAGCTGTTCATTCGCTCATGTACTGTTATTGAATTGTTCGTGTTTGCTTCCTTGTCCGTTGTCATGGTTAAGTGTGATCAAGTTTCCCCGTCATGACCCTGATTTTTATTGTTCATTTCTGTTGGAAGATGCTCATTTAGTTATATAATGTACTTGACCTTGCACTCTAAACTGTGCGTAGTGCTGAGGTGGCAAATATTTCCCAGCAGCATTAGATGATTATTTCACTTCCAACTGATAAGGACTACTTATTTCACGCTCTACAGCCATGACATTTGTTTGTGGGTTTTCCTAGAAATGCGCTCAGACATGATTTGTTAACTGCAGTTGGGCATTTCAATGTGAATCAACTGAAGCAGGAAATAAACTTTGTGTTAGAAAAAGACTTATGATATGTATGTGTTCTATCATATGCATAGCAGCACTAATAAGTAAAATATAGACCTCACATCCTTACAGACTTAAAATTAACGGCCTACAGCTTGACACAATTGGACATTAATGCCTGATTTATAAATTGGAAGCATTATTAAATGGATTTTCACTGGCCAAAAATATAAAAAAACATCCTTGTTTACTCCTCTAATGAAGGAAGGATATTAGGATTGTTAGCCATTCATTAGCAAGTTGTAAATAAAAACGGCTCATTTTAAGATTACAAAATCACAATGATTCTTATTTTACAGGTGATTGTATGCTAATGAAAACATACCTATGAATATTATATTCTATTTCTGTCATATGCTGCCAATAAAGCAACTTGAATATCTCATACTGCTCCTTGAAAGGTTTGTTTGGCATTTTGGGAAATACCTCTATTCACTTTCAAGCAGTCAGATTAGGAACATTGATATCACCCTCATGTTTGTACACCAAATATAAAAGTTACCGCTATCTACAACGACTCAGGACACAGAAGAATACGCAACACTGATGGTTGAAGTGGTTAGCTTAGCTTAGCATGAAGACAGAAAAATAGTTTTGTCTGATTGAGATATAATGTGTTAATTAGCAAACATTAGAGGTGTTGATTTGGTTATCTTTTGTTACCGGAGCCAGGCTAGTTGTTTCCCCATTTCCAGTCTTTATGCTAAGCTAAGCTAACTGGCTGCTGGCCCCAGCTTCATATTTATCATACAGACGAGTGTGGTATCAATTTTCTCCTTTAACTCTCAGCACAACAGTGAATACACTTATTTCTCAAAATGTCAAACTATACCTCTAAACATGAGAAAAATGAGTAAAAGTAAAAGTAGTTTGATAAAGCAGTCCTGCTGATTGATTGAAGACTGACATATTGTCTCATGGTACATAATGTCATATTGTCTGACCATAAGTTACATAAAACCGTCTTACACTTGACTTAGCCACAGACCTTGAGTCAAGCATTTTTTTTTCAATGTTGCTTTAAATAGTTCACTATATGGTGGTAATTACAGCAAGTCGAATGGTAAGCTACAGTTTTGGGCATTACAACACCAAAAACCCGTCTAAAACAGAGAGGGTGGAACCCTCGCAGAGGTGTAAATCGCTCAAGTAGCTGTGAAGTTGACAGCAAAACCACAACGCCACAAACACTCACCCACAGCTGCTGGAGATAATCCATCCAAGATGCCCATGTAAAATAATCCACCACTCCTTCATATGTCCCTGCCATGTCTTACAATAAATGTTTTCTTAATGTACAAATGAAAACAAAATGAAAGTAGGAGAGAGACTGTCGTTGGACAGATGCAGAGGAAGTCGTAACCTCACTTCCTGTTAGACTTCGTACTGTGGTAACCACTCGCCTACATAATACACCACCAGACGTTGAGTTCATACAGTTTGATGTACCATTACAGTTGCCTGGAAGATTCAGAAAACGCATTATGAACCAGGAATGAATTGACTGAAGGGGCTGGACTACTCTTGCACAAAACCCAATGTATATGCAACATGGAAAAACAAGTAAAAATACATTTTCACTGTTTCTCATCGGAGACATATCATCTTCAGGAGTGGTAACTTAAGAGCACAAACTGAGAAGCATGCACATTCACAGCTGCCTCTTTTTATCGTCACACCTCCTAAGTCAACACCAATCTTTGTCACTCTCACTATGTATTTTTTCTTCTTCTAAAAAATACACTCTCGCTGTCAGAAAAGGCAGATAATGCTACTGACACATGGCACATAGATACAGATTTCAGGCCATGTGTGTTTCATTACTCAGTCACACCTGCACACACACACACACACACACACACGCTCTTAAGCTGTGACTAAGTCGGGCTGAAGCAAGTATGACAGGATGTTTTTCCTTGTGCTACAGGAATGGTAATGTATTGCTGCAGGTGAGGCGTGTGTGGCTGCCAGGCTGATATGATTCAGTGGTGAAATAACCACATGTACATGTACACTCCTGCCTCTGTTCTTAACCTCACCCTTTCTGAGTAATTGAACAATTAACCCTTTCATCTAACCGTGCTGGTGTGTGAGCTCCGGATGAAGATCGAGGCGCATTTACCTCTTGCGTGTCTTCTTCCTCTTCATCTCCTTTCGTCTCCTCCTCTTCCTCCCTCTCGAGCTCCCTTTCCTCCCCTTCTTCCTCCACCTCCATGGAGATGAGCTGTGTTCCCTCAGGCCTCTGCTCCTCCTCCTCTTCCTCCATACTTTCTTGGGCTATTGTAGGCTCTGGACTGTCTGGTTTTTCCACCTGTTCTGGCACTTTGTTTTCCCGAGGGCTGACATCCAGTGGCACCAGCACGTCCACTACCTGTCTATCTACAGGGTCAGCCTCCCATCTATGGATGACCGGACTAGTTTCTGCTTTAGCCTGTGAGCCCCATCTCTTTGGCTTGACTGAAAAATCATCATAATCCACCTGGATCAGAGGCTGTTTGACGGAAAAGTCATCGTAAACAACATCGATTGGACTCTCTGTGGGCTCAAATGTTTTTGCTAAGGGGGAATATGGTGATTGTGGCTTCTGAGGCGCATCTTCAGAGTCAAAGCTGATTAAATTTGCCTCCTCCACCGTATTCTGCCCTTCCCTGCTGGTCAAGCCATCCCTCTCGCTCTCTTCCTCCATTCTTAGCTTTTCTGCCAGGTCTTGTGTTCTCTTCCTTTCCAATTCCTCTCGCATTTTTCTCTCCAGCTCCTCCGCTCTTTCTTTCTCTATCTGCCTCTTCCTCTCCATCTCTCTCTGTTTCTCCATTTCTATCTGCCTCATTCTCTCC